CCCCGTCCCCCTCGCAGTCCCGCTCCCCCTCCCCGGCGCGCTCCCCGTCCGGCTCCCCCAACTCCCGCCGCCCCGCCGCCCTCATGGACGTCGACGACGACGACTACGCCGACGCCGCCCAGAACGCCGTCGTCCTCGCCGAGGACAAGAAGTACTACCCCACGGCCGAGGAGGTCTACGGCCCGGGCGTCGAGGCGCTCGTCATGGACGAGGACGAGCAGGCGCTCGAGAAGCCCATCGTCGCGCCGCCCCGCGTCGTCAAGTTCGAGGTCGGCACCCGCGCCGGTGCGACCTCCACCTACGCCTCCACCGATTTCATCCTCGGCCTCGCCTCCAACCCGCTGCTGGTCCGCAATGTGGCGCTCGTGGGCCACCTGCAGCACGGGAAGACGGTGTTCATGGACATGCTCGTGGAGCAGACCCACGAGGTGGACACGTTCGACTCCGAGGGCGAGCGCCACATCCGTTTCACAGACACCCGGGTCGACGAGCAGGAGCGCAGGGTCTCCATCAAGGCTGTGCCGATGTCGCTCGTGCTAGAGTCAGGGAATGGCAAGTCCTATCTCTGCAACATCATGGATACGCCTGGGCATGTCAATTTTTCCGACGAGATGACTGCTGCGCTCAGGCTAGCGGATGGGGCTGTGCTTGTTGTCGATGCTGCTGAGGGCGTCATGGTAATTCACTGATCCTATTGCTTTATATATCTCTGCTCAACTGATGGATTGAACTCTGTTTGCTATATCGGAGTAGGAAGTATTAAACTGGAATTAGTGTTGTGTCTTTTTTTTAATTGTTAGATAAGGATATGGCAATTGCATTTGTCTGAATGTGAGATATGGGTTCATCATAATTCATTTGAACAAGAGACTTGCTAGGTATACATCTTTACAGCTTCACAAGTTCATTGAATTTCTTTTCAAGAATGAGTTATTTCCCTATTTCTGTTGGAAGTGGATAAAACAGTGTGTGTATCAGTATTACAACAACCACATCTTACCCAAGCATCTAAAAAATACAATGAATGACATGACTGGTTCAAAGTAGCGCTAGGCGTATGCAAGGCTGTTGGCCTTCGCCTAGTGCCCAAGCGACGCTCAGGGGTGTATTTGGCGTATAGACACTAATTTTGGGCATGATAATGAGTAAACCACCAGCTACTGGTTTGGCCGTCGCCTGGCGCCTAAGAACAGGAGACTGAACGCCTGAAGCTACAAATATTGCTAGCACTATATAAGAACAGGAGATCTGCATGTTTTAAACAGACGATATTTATCCTGCATCTAACAGTTCTGAAGGCAAATAGATAATGCTTTAGTTTAACTTGGTTTATGTGAGCTTAACTTTTATTCAGTTGGAACTTATAAGTGGTTTGTTGGTGCTGCATTTGGGACACTAACAGCTGCACCTGCTGATGACAAAGGCATTGAGAAATCAGCAGAGTTGACACTAGGCAGCATGTTGAAAATGTGTTGTTTTCTTGAAATTATCAGCATTGTTTTGTTTCTGTTGTGTTGTCTAAAAAATGGAGCACAGATTATCATAAATTAGAACATAGTAACAGGCCTGACGAGCAAAACATCTGTTGTCAGCTTGTTCGTCTTGTATTAGCTAAAACTAGGTGGGCAGTGGGCTTATATAAAAGGCCTTATATTCTTATAAGCTGCATGTTAATGACCTCCAGTACTGTTTTCACTGAAATGAAAAACTGCAAATCTGCAACATGCACTAGAAGCAGAATATAAGATGGTGGTGTAGAGTTTTTTCCTTTTGCCAATAACAGGAGTAGCTTGGCTGTATGCGTACATGCCAGCATTCCCAGAATTAAATTGCTAAGTTAATTTTCTTTTTTATTGGAGTATCTAAATATATTTGTATTTATTTATCTCCGTTGATGAGTAGGTAAACACTGAGAGGGCGATTCGTCATGCGATCCAAGAAAGACTTCCCATCGTTGTTGTGATTAACAAGGTACATTTTGCTTGGTTCCACTTATTTCTAATACAATTCAATTCCAAGCTGAAGCTGACGTATGCTCTCACGTTGTGGTTTTACAGGTTGACAGACTGATAACAGAGCTAAAGCTGCCCCCAAATGATGCGTATTTTAAGCTACGACATACACTGGACACAATCAATGATCTAATCTCATCTTGTTCTACCACAGTAGGTGGCACTCAACTGGTAGACCCAGCTGCTGGAAATGTTTGCTTTGCGAGTGGTTCTGCTGGCTGGTCTTTTACCTTGCAATCTTTTGCGCATCTTTATTTGAAGATTCATGGGATTCAGTTTGACCATGAGAAATTTGCATCTCGTCTGTGGGGAGATTTGTATTATGACCATAACTCTAGAACCTTCAAAAAGAAGCCGCCAGCAGCAGGAGCTAATAGGTCATTCATTGAGTTCATCCTTGAGCCTCTGTATAAAATCTATAGTCAGGTTGTTGGAGAGCAACAGAGAATTCTTGAAGTAACTCTCGCTGACTTGGGTGTGACACTGAGCAATGCAGCTTATAAGCTTAATGTTAGGCCTTTGCTGAGACTTGCTTGCCGCTCAATTTTTGGCACTGCTACTGGTTTTACCGACATGTTAGTGAAAAACATCCCCAATGTGAAGGATGGCGCTGCAAGGAAAATAGAACACATATACACTGGTCAACAAGACTCCTCCATTGTGGATGCAATGAAGAAATGTGATTCCCATGGTCCTCTTATGGTCAATGTTACAAAACTGTATCCTAAGCCTGACTGTAGTGTCTTTGATGCCTTTGGACGAGTTTATAGTGGCACAATACAGACTGGTCAGACAGTTCGGGTGCTTGGAGAAGGCTATTCCCCTGATGATGAAGAGGATATGACTGTCAAAGAGGTCACCAAGTTGTGGGTCTATCAGGCACGGTACCGTGTTCCAATAAGTAAGGCACCTGCTGGTTCTTGGGTTCTTATTGAAGGCGTGGATGCATCAATCATGAAAACTGCAACCATATGTCCTATGAACATGGATGAAGATGTGTACATATTTAGGCCTCTACGCTTCAATACCTTACCTGTTGTAAAGATAGCAGCTGAGCCTCTTAACCCGAGTGAGCTGCCTAAAATGGTGGAAGGTCTGCGTAAAATTAGCAAGAGCTACCCTCTTGCTATTACTAAGGTAGAAGAGTCAGGCGAACACACTATACTTGGGACTGGTGAGCTATATCTAGATTCAATAATGAAGGACCTCAGAGAGCTTTACTCTGAGGTAGAAGTGAAGGTATAAAGCAATGCACTTGGTTTATTTTTCCTTCTCTTTTGAACCAGATTTTTACTTTGCTGCCTTGTTTGTACACAGGTTGCAGATCCAGTTGTGACATTTTGTGAAACAGTTGTTGATACTTCCTCTATGAAATGTTTTGCTGAAACACCCAACAAGAGGAACAAAATTACCATGGTTAGATTTTGTTTTTGGCTTTTCTTGTGCCCATCCTTCTTCATCATGGTAAACAAACACACATGGTCAACTAATTGTGGCTTTCTTTGTCTGTGACAACATGCAGTTAGCTGAACCACTAGAGAAGGGCTTGGCAGAAGATATAGAGAATGGCCTTGTCAGCCTTGACTCAAGGCAGAAAGAAGTCACTGACTTCTTTCGCCAACGCTACCAGTGGGATGTGCTTGCAGCAAGGTCAATATGGGCTTTTGGACCTGACAAGCAGGCAAGATGGCAAACTGCTTACTGACCTGTCATTGTGCAGGATATTTCCATTTTGTTGACTGAACGTATCTTACTTTGACATGCAGGGTCCTAACATTCTACTGGATGACTCTCTTTCGGTTGAGGTGGATAAGAACTTGCTGAATGCAGTCAAAGATTCAATTGTTCAAGGGTAGGGCACTCTGTTCTGTTAATTCAAATTTCCTTTGGAATATTTGTCAGTGCCTTAATCATTTTGTTTACTGCCCTAACCTCAGGTTTCAGTGGGGTGCTAGAGAAGGCCCCTTGTGTGATGAACCAATTAGGAATGTGAAGTTCAAGATCCTAAATGCAAATATCGCACCAGAACCATTGCACCGTGGTGGCGGCCAAATAATCCCCACAGCTCGCCGGGTTGTCTACTCAGCATTTCTGATGGCTAATCCTCGACTTATGGAGCCTGTTTATTACATTGAGGTTAGTCATGGAATCATGGTTCTTGTACATAGACTAATCATCACTATCTAGAACATGTGTATTTGATGACCTGGTCTGACAAATGAGTGCATTTGGCATTGGCAGATCCAAACTCCAATTGACTGTGTATCTGCTATATATACGGTCCTGTCGCGGCGACGTGGACATGTGACAGCCGATGTACCCAAGCCTGGCACTCCAGTATATGTTGTCAAGGTAGGAAGTGTGCTCTATTTCTTCTGATCCAGCCTTATTTTTTATCTTGCGTAAGACCTGTATGACTCTTGCTGATGGTATAATTTCTACATTTGTCAGGCATTTTTACCTGTCATAGAGTCTTTTGGGTTTGAGACAGATCTCAGATACCATACACAGGGACAAGCATTTTGTGTGTCAGTGTTTGACCACTGGGCTATTGTTCCTGGCGATCCTCTTGACAAGGGCATTGTTCTCCGGCCTTTGGAACCAGCACCTATCCAACACCTTGCCCGTGAGTTCATGGTAAAGACCAGGCGGAGGAAGGTGAGACATACATCTAGATACTGAACGTACATACAGTCTCTTTTGAACTGATCATGAATTAATCTAATGCACGCCCATTTTCCAGGGCATGAGCGAGGATGTTAGCATCAACAAGTTCTTTGACGAGGCCATGATGAACGAGCTGGCGCAACAGACTGCAGATATCCACCTGATGATGTAGTTTGATGATGGAAGTCCATTGTCCTGGTGCGCTGGGAACATATCAAGTACTTTCATGGGGCTATCATGACGCGATCTTCAAGGAGACGCAATTTGCCGCATTTTGATGGTTGGGTATTATTATGATTCGTAACAGATCATTGTAGACTGAGTACCATCTGTAGTCATGTATGTACTATCGCTCTAACACCTACGTCGTCTAACCAGTTAGTGTAACCATCGACAGAGAGCTGAGACTTGTGGTTGATTTTTGATAGGCGATGGCATTTCCAGGGACAATAATGCCTTTACTTGTTTGATCCTTTCTTCACAAATTACAACCATTGTAGCGCCGAGCACCTTTCCAAGTTTCTGGAGGATAGTTCTGTTTCTTGCCATGCCTATTTGATCTGTGTTTTTATCAGGATTGATTACTGGACGTAATGTGCCTTCCTGGTAAACTCCTGTGAGGTGGTGTATGTCTATTGGTATGGTCATGCTGTGTCAGACTTAAATCTTTTATCTATATTTCAAAGTTTGTATTCTGTTTTTTTCTTTTGAGAATTTTGTCTTCTGTTACTACCCCCTCTGTCCGTTCCATATTGCCTAGTCTTTCATTTCCGGCATGCAAGGCATATGATGCATAAGGGCCCATTTGGTTTAAATGAGGGGGAATGGGAGCTTAAGGGCGAACAGATTAAAAGTCCACTGATTGGCTAGAGATTGGTAGTTTGAGTGGTAACGGAAATGAACTTCCATCTATTTCCTTCCATGATGTGGCCTTTCTGGATTAACTTTCATCATATGTATCAAACATCAGATTTGCTAATTCCAATCTAGATGGGAGTTAGCTATGTCACATGATTATTTGTCCACCCAGACCCTACACAAAGGAAAACCTTCATATCCATGCACGTCCATCATATACACAAATTCATCATCAATTCAACAATTTGACAAAACAAAATAAATCATAATTCAATAATTCAACACATGACATTTAAAAAAAAATCATACATAGATAGGCCATACACAAATGAATCAAATGCCTCCATGGTTGCGCTCGTTGATCCTCTTTTTCATGTTGATCAGCCACTTCTTGTATTCCCAATCCAAGAGGCTAGTGTACCACAACATGATCCCTGACTCTCTCAATGTTGCCGCCTTCTAAAGCTACCATTTTGCATATTTCTCTTGCATATGCAAATCTATTTTCTTTCTCAATGTTCAACTTGTCTTTCACCCTCTCTCGGCCGTACTCCATCCTCTTCCTTTGCACATTTACGAAGAGCCTCTAACTCTACTTCTTCTTCAACTCCTTGGCGGGGGAAAAAACCCCGTCCATATGATGAAGAGACTGTACCTCTACTTCTTCAACTCCTTGGCAGGAAAAGAAATACCCGTCCATATGATGAACATTTTGCTTGCCGCGCCATCACGCACGACCCTCTCCTTCTCCCACTTGTTTCCCACCACTTGTCGGCTCCTCTTTTGGCACGGTGACTTGTAGTTTCGTGCGTTCGCTCCTCCATTTTGCTCCTCTTCGATCTTCATCACCCAATCAAATAGATTGATGGGAGCTAGAGCCATCATTTTTCTTTATCTTCTCGGGGTTGCCTTTGAGCTCCTCAACGAGGTTTTTTCACTTTGATTTCCTATTTAGTTTCAACCAACAATAACACCAAAGCGTAATGGCTTGCCCTTAGTTTGTTGGTATACATTCACTGCCAGAGTTGCATGGCTTTGGACTTCAATGTCACTTTGGTTTCAGCCAACCACTTGTGTATAGTAGCCCATGTGTTTGTTGATTTCTGTTTGAATGTGTACCTAAGAACCCCGAAACAGTAACAAACCCATGCGAGCAAGTAAATTCAGTTTTAGTGTAACCTTTTTCCCCGGAGAGTTTGAGTGTAATCTGCGTATGTTCTTTGAACCTTTTGAAGATTTAGAGCAACCTCTTTTTGGAAGTTCTACCGAACAAAGGTCTTTTTTTTGTTGGACAAATTTTCATGAATCTTTTACAACCTTTTTTGTTTTTGTCTTTCAGATGTCATTTTTGCCATGCTTTTAGGGTGCCTTTCTCAAATTTTAGTAGGAGAATACTCTACCATTTTTTCTTCTCTCTAAAAAGTGTGTTAGCAAGTACACAAGATAGGACTGATATTTTTTTTGCGCAATGGTATTTTTTCTTCACACCGGTGGCGGGATGTCTATGGCCACCCATTGTGGCGTTTGCTGTATTTTTTTGCTGAACAGCGCAGTGAAATAGAAGTAGTACAGTAGCTTAAAAAAAATATTCAACCGTTTTTTTTTTTTGAGAATCAAATATTCTACCGAAATATGCGCACACTTTACCCTTTCCAAACGTTGCAACGGAAGCCCCATTGGCCAACAACCTTTCCCGACCTGTTCCTCCCGTTCACGGAAATTCGCCAACCAAAAAAAAGTTCCCTCCAAAAGCCCTCCCCGCACGGCCGCACACCCCGTCGTTTTCCCCACCGTTTCGAACGCCGGAACCCTAGCTCCACCAGCCCGAGGTCACCCAAAGGCCCCCCGCTCCCATGGACACCAGCGGCGGGGCCGTCCTCCAGTCGCCGGCGACGGAGGAGGAGACGATGGCGCGGAAGCGCTCCCGCCGCGTGAGCTTCGCGGACACCACCGCCGTGCACGTGTTCGACCGCGACGAGGACTTTGAGACGCCCCCGGACGAGCGCCCCGCCTCCCCGTCTCCGTCCCCCGGGAGGCCCCTCGCGGGCGACGCGGCGGAGGGCGACGAGACGGAGGGAGAGGACGAGTCACCGTTCGGTTGGCTCGGGGATGTGGGTGTCAGTTCCGCCTCCCCCGGCAGCGCCGCCGGGTCCATGTCCTCGTTCGAAGGAGGTAGCCCCCTCCTTTCGTTTGTCTAAGATTTTTCTTCTTGTGAATTAGCTTGTTTCATTTCATTACCAGCCCACATTTAGCTCATTACAGGTGATGCACACTGGTTAATTTGGGCATTAATTAATTTCGAGGCTCAGAATGTTGCATCTATCAAGCCAATTTTTAGTTTATTTATGTTTGTTTATCAGGGGTTCCTCACCTCACTTTAAGTGCTCGAGTCAATGGTTTATGTTAAGGCTGGCCTTCACCCTTCAGTCTTCAATGGACAAACGGTTTCACTTGTTGCTGAGCCATGTTCATTTGCTTATGTCTCAGGGGCCGTTGGAATGAGTTAGATATCTTTTGGAGGGTTCCGTTTTTGGTTCAAATTCTATAGGATTTGAATCCAAATCCTCCCTAACATTAATTTTAGGTGCTTTCAGGTTTTCTGTTTTTGCTCACTTTCTTGCTGGAACCAAAGATTTGGGTCATGCCCTTTTTGTCCTTGTCTACGCATTTACCTTAGAAAGCTGAGGCCACAGACGGTTGAAGATGGAAATTATTCATTTATGATGCCATAGTTTTTATTTTGTCAGATTGTTGTGCGAAGTGTGTCACAGTGAGCACTTAAGGCTGGGCTTTATGCTTTGTTGTGAGAACTTGAGCAATTTGGGTTTCAAAATCATTTTCCGTATCACTTCGATCTGTTCGATGCAGATTGTACAGAAAGTGACTGTTGACCGGTAGACTGTTGAATGTACATGCAAATACATATTATATTGGGTATTTTATTGCTTAATTATAGTAAGGACCAGATATTGTTACTGTCTGCTCACTAAGATCTCCAGACCACACCTTGTTAATGCATTTGAGGTTACATGTTAGTAGTTTCACTATATCTTTCTCTTAAAATGTTGCTATGATGTATGATACTCCCTCCGTTCCTAAATATAAGTATTTTTAGACATTTCAAATGGACTACAATATACGGATGTATGTAGACATATTTTAGAGTGTAGACTCACTCATTTTGCTCCGTATGTAGTCACTTGTTAGAATCTCTATAAAGACTTATATTTGGGAACGGAGGGAGTAGTTTACATCGATGGCAAATTATCCGTTCCTCTACTGTACACTAGCCATTCTGTTTTCTTAGTTATTCCTTAGCTAGTGTGCTGGATTATTCTGTGTACAGGTGCTATATCTCCTTAATTGCATGCTTGTTTGTCTTGACAGATGACAACTTCTTTGGGGTCGTGTCAGCAAGTTTTATTCAATCGGGGAGACCATCAGATTCTGGAATGTCGGAGGACAATGGCCATGATTTAACTTTAGATTCCCACACGTTTTCTTTGCATTTCAACAATGTTATTCCTCCAGATGATTGTTCACTCCACTCAGCTGGAAGTCTGAGGACAGTCGGTCTGGAATCTGCAACACCGCTAAAGGCACTGAAGGGATCAGAGTCTGTAAAATCGAGTGGTGGCCGCGATGCGTTGACCGACATGAGTTTGTGTGCAGAAAACCCTAAACGTTATGATTATACTAACTTGTCACTCACATTGAACAATTTACTGCAAGAGGTCCAGGAACCAACGTCTCCTAAAGATGAAACGGACTTTATAACTGCCAAGCATGCTTTGACGCTGCCTGCATCTGAGAAAGAACACAGGCAAGAAAAATCATATATTGGCAATGGTGTGTCTTCTGATGAGCTGGTCTCCGTTAGTTCTCTTGAGGAGCACATTACTAGTAGCTCTGATCCGACTGAAGAAGACAATGCAATGGTAGTTGATATTCATGATAAATCTCAGATCAGGTATTTGACAGTTCTCTTTTATTTGCCTTTTTTTCTTTGAGAAAGCAGCCCATGCATGATATCACTGCAGTTCATGAACCTATGACATTAAATTATGTTACTAAAGTCTCTAAACCTTGTTTGGTTGTCCTACTTCCCAATTTTGGTTTAATTCGGTCTCAAAGATTTTCTTGTGCCAATATAGCTATCTGTTGGTTAGAAGTAGCAAAAGAGTGAATGCACACAAAATCATGATTGCATTTCATAGCACGTGATTGGGCATGTTCCTTGCAGCTTGGTTACTTGTCAGTTAAGAAGTATTTGCGGGCTTGCGGCACAAGGCATGCTATTGTTACCTATAGCTGTTGTATTAAGTGACGTGAGTGCAATAAGCATCTGTGGGTACCTGCTAAATCAATGTGTAAATTGCTTGCCTAGAGTGAATAACAGTACAAGCTTTAGAACCTTTGGTGTACTTAGGTTCTGGTTGGGATTCAGTCTTTTTGGAGAACTTGGTTTAGCCCTATTTAACTGAATTTCTAGAAATATAACAATAATATATGGCTTAAAGCGAGAAATATCTAATATAACCGGTTAGCCCAGTGTGCCACATAACACCTCAATCACAAATAGTCTCGCTCTGTCAATACCATGGTTAATATATCACTGAGAAGTTTTTTGGCAGTTTTCTGTCCGTAGTATTGGTATGTCCTAGGAATTATCATTTCAATCAGTGTTTTCTGATGGCATTTTGTTTTTTATGTAATAAAAAACTTCAAATCTTCTCGATAGCAAACATGAAAATCATAAGGGGCTGTTTGGCTCTAGGCCTTGCAATGCCACACTTTGCCACACATTCTTTTGCTAAACTTGCCTAAGCTTAGTTCAATAAAATGGAAGCCACAAGTTGGGAAGCCTAAGGGAATCTTGCCACACTTTTTGAGTGTATGTGATGTGGGGCCCTAGTGTGACAAAAAACATCTTGCCTAAGGTGAGGCTTGAACCAAACACCCCACTAAGTTGGTCAAACTCGCCTAACCTTAGGCGTGGCAACCGAAGGCAACCATAGTCACAAATCAAACACCCCCTAACTTTTTATGGATGTTTTGTACTCAGAGATTCCTTAGTGACCTATTGGGTCAAGCACCTGAAGCCTGAAGGCTGAACTTGACCTTACTGATCGTTCATCTTAGTGTGCTATCTAGCATGCCATTGTTTCTGTAAACATTCTTCATAGCAATAGTTGGAGACAGTTATGCACTTATACTACCATAGGGCTGTTGAATATAAGCTAAAATCATTTACAAGTTTTTTGTTTCTCATATTTCTCTTAATTTCTTTACTGTGATTTGGTCTGAAACTAATAGTTAGTTGACTTGCTGGCAATCCATCTTTTTGGAACTTACCTGGTTTTTGGAATTGCTTAGTTTGCAGGAGAACTGCAGTGATGACCATATAGCCGTTCACCCTGATGTCAATAGAACTGTAAAAACTGCTTCGTTGCTCTCTCCACCTCCACCTTATGGGTCCTTCATGAGTAATATTGACTTGCAACCTCCTGTATTGGATCAATCATTGTCAAAAGATGAACCACATGGAGCAAATCAAACTGCAAGTGCAGTTCCTACCTTTTCAATGAGGGATGCTGAGCAGTTGCACCAGCAAAGTGAAATCTTGAATTCGGAAACTGTTTTACATACTCCGAAAACGCAAGTTCAGCTGTTGCAAATTACACAAGGTTCTGTATCTTCCCTACGCTCCAAAAGGCAGCAAATCTTCAGTCCTGTGGTTCATTCCACTGGTAATGTGGTAAGCCATGAGGCATCTTCTTTGGGGAGTGAGTTTATGAAACATGGTAAGAGAATTTCAGATCTCGATCATGTACTAAAGTTCAAGCTTCATGAATCACCTGTAGCTCATAATCGTCGATTACCATTAGTTGAGAGAAATGAGATTGTTCAGGAACCACATAACACATTCAGCAAAGCTGAAGATCATGGCTGCACTGTGTCAGCTTTTTCTGTTACACCACAACAGCTAGAGAAAACCGGTCAGGCTTCTGTTCTAGGTGCTCCCCCAAGGCAGGAGCCGAGTGAGGCCACTGAGGTTCAGGATACTCTGTGCGATGCCCCTGCTTTGGGTAGCCTAGCAAATCATGAATGCAATTCTCATATGGATATGGATGGCACTGGAAGAAAAAGGAGCTCTGAAGAAAATGTCTGTGCTGAACATTCATTGCCTGAAAAAAGAGCAAAGGGACCTAGAAGCCCAATAACATCACGAAAACAACTTCCTTGTGTATCATTGTCTTCTCGTATGGCAGAAGAAAATCAGAGTGAGGCTCATGATAGTGCACAATCATTAAGTGATGATTGGAACAAGGTAAGACAGAAAGTTGCCAGGTTAAACTGTATCCAAGTTCATGTTTGTTGGTCTTCAAAATGTTTGAACTTTGGAGTGAATAGTCAGTATAAAATCTTGAACGTTTCCCTCGTGCAGGTAGTATTCAGCGTATCTGATTCCATTAAGCAGATGCATATACGCCCAGAATCTATAAGTAAGCTTAACCTACAACAGGTATGCATTTTGCCCTGTTACTGGTCTAAGTTACTGTCTTCTTGTTCATTCACTTCGAATACTTCAGAGACCCTTGCAGTACTGCTTATTCTATTTTGATGTGCTTCAGTAATTGCTCATACTGAAGGGAGTAGTACATTACTCTACTCGAATTATTCTCTTTGCTGGTTCTGTTCAAAACTAGTTACAAACATAGGTATAACTCACTAACTCTCGAAGTTAAAAAAAAGCGCTAGGAGTTAATTGTGCATTTTGTTATCGCCTTGCACTTTTATGGCCGCCTTGCACTTTTATGGCCAAAGCGCATGCTTAAGCGCTAGGCGTTTTGCTATCGCCTAGAGCCTAGGCGTGCTTAAGCGCCTACCTAGGCGCGCCTTTTTTGAACTATGCTAACTCTTCAAGTGAATAAAACCGTTTACACTGTTTAGATGAAATATCTACTGCACTGTGAAAGTAATTCTTTAGTCCTATAGATTCTTGCATCACTATCTCATACTCAAGTTGTTAGCCTTGATCTTGATTATTCCTTCAATTTTAGCTGAGCAAATATATTATTGTGGTCTTTAGGATCAAACTTTGGCTCCACATAGTTCTTAGGACCTTGTAACTTTGTTTGGAATGCAATCATCTTTTAACTCTCAAGAGTTTTGAGGTAGCATTATCTTCCGTAATAAACACACAAGCTGGCTGGAAAAAGTAATCTAGGATTAGTTCTGACCACCATTCCTTCAAACATCGTTTGATTGTTCCAAATATATCTGTTTCTATTCGCAAATCTGGAATCTTCGGTCCTGAGTGAATTCCTCTCCCAACAAGTTTGGCAGACTTTTTAGAGACAATCTGATATGGCACACTTGCCTATTTGGAGCTTGTGTACAGTTACCAATTGATCTTCAGAATCTATGGTTCTCTATATCTCTTTTGTGAACTTCCTTTTGCTGCAACTTGATTTATTCTTGTATGTGTTCAATTCTGTAGTTCAACCTAATGATCTAGCATTCAAAATATCTTGTGGAAATGTTGGAGCATGAGCTTGTTGTATCTTATATATTTTTCTTGTTTTCTTAATGAAGCTTGATATGTTAGGAGATATGCTGGGGAAGATTCATGTGGCTAGAACATATAAGAGGCTTCCTGCTGCTGTGGTATTCTATCATTAATTAGTTGTCATATTGTCTGTCTCTGTTAGGAAATTACTTCCACTTATCTGTTGTGTTCGTTTTCTGAATGCAGAGGATTCAAGATTCCAGACTAGCTGAGGCAATGTCTCTCCATGGCAAGCTTTCATATGAAAAGGCAAAACTGCAAATAAATCATGTTAAACTTGATAAACTGCGAGTAAGAATTTCTTTGTCTTCCTTTCAGCTTTTTTGATAGCCTATAAGGTACAAGTGCAGTAAGCTATTAGCTTGCCCCCGTTCTGTTTTGGTGCAGAACAAAGCACAACTATGTCAAGCTGGAATTCAAGAATGCCGCTATTTGAAATCCAAGATTTCACAGCTTCGTCGTCCTACGGTGGGTGCTGCACAGATGAAGGGAGGTCCTCTTTATGCAGAAACTTCGATTAATACCTGCAACAGACTGGTACATCACTGTGTACTACCGTCCTTCGCATAATTATGGTCATTCATAGTATTATATCTTTTTTCCTGCTCTTTCTGTGTTGCATATCAAAATATCATACTGTCAGCCATTCCTTTCAAATGACCATGATTGTTTTATCTGCCAAGGTTGTAAGAGTCTGTTAACTGAATAACTGCAAAAGATCTGACATTCGGCGTACTGTCGGGCATTCCTTTCAAATGACCATGATTGTTTTATTTGCCAAAGTTGTAAGAGTCTGTTAACTGAATAACTGCAAATGATCTGACATTCGGCAATATATTTTCTTTTCTTTGGTTGCTGTTATGTTTCGTGAAGCTGATGTATTACTTCTGGGCTATCAACTATCAGTAGCAACGATTCTTGCTGTAATAGTATAGTGCTACTGTCATTAATGCAGCTCTTACTTCCAGTTATCTCATTTGTTCTTATTCTAGTTTATTTCTTTTTCCATAAATTCAGTTGCTTCTACCATCATCCCCGTTACATACTTGCATTTGCCAAAATATAGCACTTGTGCAAATATTTGTGTGTTCACTCACACATTTTTATGGGGAACGTATCATGTGTTTCCCCAGGAAGGAAATGCTAGGATAACTGAAAAGAAGCTTGCACTCAGCATGATTCAACAGAAGGTGGAGAACCTCAAGATTTCGCTTGAACATTTTTGCAACATTAAAGGTGATATTAGTGAAGTCCTCAGGGTTGCTGAAGAGCAATTGAAGATGAGAAATCAGTGTCGTATCATCAACCAGCAAGCATCGGTATTGGTGTATGCCTTAGGTCTACCGTATATACTTCTCTTCCTTCAGTGATTTACATTTACATTTACTTTTTGTTTTTTAGCTCTGGGAGTTGAAAGACATTGTTAAAAGGGAAAATAAGCGTGATGTCATTCTCAACTATCGCAATTTGCTCTTACAAAGGTACTGACTCCTTGTATTCACCTTCCCTTTTGCATAGTGTAGCAACCATGATTTCCCTCTCCACTGTGGAACAGGAAACTTCCAGGTCTTGGTACTTGTTGAAACCAATTACTGGCCTTAACTGGCCCAATGTACTTTAAACCTTAAACTGTTTTTCTCTAGTCCTGACGAACCTGCATGGACTTGGCAAGTTATTTACTGTATTTTGAAAGGATGTCTATGTTCAATGTAAAACCTTTCTTCAACCAGCCAAAACTTTTTGCTAGTAAAATGAACCCGACATCGGATGTTTGGTGGTATCTAACCCTGAACCTGGGGCACATAATCTTGCCAATCTTGTACCTGCTTGTGACCGCCAGTTTTGCAAAACAATTGGTAGCAACAAGCCAGCAATGGAAGACAACCTTGTTATCATGTGTCTTTGTCTTACTTCTTGTGTTACTGTGCCTTTTACAGGATCATCTTAAACCTTAGTGATATGTCAACCATATTTGTGAGTAACTCACTGATGGGAACCAAAATAGAAAAGGTGAGATGAGGAAACTGATATTTCTTCTTCTGTGTCTGCATGTACGAAACTCATGGTACTGTTCTCTTGGTCAGGCATTTCCCAATTTGAAAGCAACTGTGGCATTCAGTTTCGTTTTCAAAGCTGAGGAGAATCAAAGACTTAGTGACTTACGATCCTTGCAGAAGAAGACAATGGTGAGTTTGCCTTTACTTTGAAAGTTCTTACATATGAGACAATTTGGACTAATTCTTGTGAGTGAAGTTAAAGTAATTCTTATAATATGTAGTCGCATATGAAATATATTTGTGTGCCTTAAGCAGACATTGGAGCACTACCTTTGTACACATACGGCATACACATATTTTAGACCACATTTGCATACTGATTTGTAGTTTGAGAGATGTTATGCCTACAATAATATTAAGACACCTAAGCTTTTAGGTTTGGAAAAAGAATCGAGATTTGAGGGGTAAGACTTGTTCCCCTACACTTTTAAAATCAAGGTAGAAGTGAGACCCAACCCTCGGCGCTTGACTTCACAACTGTGTGCGCCAACCACAACAGCTGTCATGTCTCGGAAGTTACATAGCAAAATTCAGTATAACGAGCCCCACATATTTTTGCAGGAAACAAGTTTGCTTCTCGGTAATCTTATTGATGTCCTAGAAGAAATCGAGGATGCTAAAGGGGAATTATTGGGTCTGATCTCTGCAGATTTTAGTGTGGACTCCCAGACAGGTTTCCTCTCTATCCATTCTCTTTTGTACTTTCATGCAGTGACTGCTTGTATCATAAAGCACTAACTCATGAACATATATTATTGACATATTACAACACTCCTGAAATAAGTTTCATGCCTAATAATCATAACAGAACAACGGGTACATGCACGACTATTTTCAGACAAATCCTCAGTGTGTAGTCTTTTATTGTTATTTTGCTTTATGGAAAGTAGGTAAGCAGATAGTGCACAGGCTAGGCTGTAAGCAGAACTTCTGGCAAGTGTTAACTAATGGAAAAATATGGAGATGTTGCCACGCGTTGCTTGCTGAAGGTACATCTGGAAATGAGGAGACTACTTTGCTTGACCCATACAACCGTTACGATTTATTATAGATGGCTAATTTTAACATGGTCCCTCTTACCTCCTTTTTCCACATGGAGTTAAAACTGCTCATTATAGATAGCAACGGATTCTATGTGTGTAAGTATTTATGTGATAAAACTAAAAGGGCATATGACCAAAAGATAGTGGCATGCTAACAACTCCGAGTTTACTGGGAGAGCACCACATGATGGCCTTACTAATTTAAGTATGTAAGATTCAATTCTTTACTAGCTCTGTTTACACTGTTAACCTGAAAATTGTGTAGTCACTACAAAATCTGTACCATGTCAAGCAGGGCAACTCATCTTCAGTCTGCGCTTCATCGGTTACAAGAGCGCCAAGAGGGTTGCTTTCACCATTGACATGACAGACCTGAGCCGGTTGGTCCAGCGAAACCAGAGCTTCTATATCTATCTATGCATCCCTACACTATTTGCTTACAATGGCACCTCTGCTTAATCTGGAACAGCGCGGTGTACCCTTCTGAGCCATCGGAGCTGCCGATCAAGGTGTGGCAAGCTCAGACAACACTGTCGCAGCCAAACCTGGACAAGCTGATGGCCTCCATAAGGGACGACCTTCAGCCGGGGCGTGTGATGATCCTCAGGCTATGCCGGATGGTGACCCGCCTGGTTAACACATTGCCTGTCTGACCTTTGCCTGTCAGGCCGCCAAGTGCAAGCTGTGCAGGAGATCTGATCATCTGATGGGATACCACCACCTTGTGTAAATGCCGCCCTTGGAGCTGACCCTCTTCCTGAACGATCTTGTGTTGGTATTGTGCTGCAAATGGAGTAGCCCAGTGTGCTCCTAATCCTCCTGGTTGTGCGAGCATCTTGTATGGAGTAGGAGTTTCTTTGCATGCTGAACGAATGGCACCTGACGCGCTGCCAAGTAAAGCTGCCGTGATAGATATAATATTCCCGTGAATCTCGGTCATAGAAATACAAGCTACTAGCCAGAAATTACGGTCTGAAAAGTGTGAGTTTGCACAATATTAGTGCATTTCGTGTCTACAAGTGAGGAGTAGATTGGTTATGGAAATGGTTAGAGGTGCATTTTTTTTAAGAACATGGTTAGAAGTGTCTTTCTAAAAAAAAGGTTAGAAATGCTAATTAAAAGGCTTAATGAACAACTGAGATTTAGTAAGGGCATTGGACACATCATCTGGTCTTCGTCTTCCGAGCTCTCCACATTGACCCTGTCAGTGATCGCCTGCTCGGGTTCGTTGTCGGCCGCCTTCTCCATCGTCCGGTCTTCTTCCTCCGAGCTCTCCTCTGGCGAGCTTGGAGGCAGACTCACCTCCGAGTTCTCTGTGCCAGGCCAGCCAGTTTTGAACGATGCCCGCGATCTCGTGCCTTCATGGCACTTTATGAAGACCCAAATAAGCTTACATCGTTTGCAAGTACATCAATGATAAAATCTGGCGAATGGCCCTGCCAAATCACGGACAGGTCTCCTTCCGCCTTGGATGCAAGCACATGTGCCACCTCATTACTCTCCATAGGGCAATGAACAAAAAGGATAAGTTATGAACTAAAAAGATACAATCCTCGTAAATGGCAGCAACAAGAGAACTGGAGCGCCCTCCATCATTCATGGTCTCCACTCCACAACGTCCATGCAGTCGCTGTTGACGGTTAACTTGCTGCACCCGGTTTGGCCTGCAAGAATCAAGCAGTCGCACCCGCCACATGCGCAATCCTGCAGGAGCTCGCTGCAACGAACATAAGTACCTTTGTCATATCTTGGTCACAGCTCCTGCAGCGCCAGATTCCGCAACTAAACTGAACGCGGCGTCAATATTCACTCTCACAAACCCTCTCTCCAGGCTTCTCCCAACCGCGCCGTCAGATCTTTGGTAAGAGGAGCTGTTGAACAGATCAGCAGTTCGATGGTAAGTTTCCACATTTCATTTTCTGTTTACCCTGTTTTGTCAGTCTGTTAGCAGCTGTGGTAGAAATTTTTCCAAAAGGAGCGCAGTTAATATTCTTTTGAAGAGCACTAGGTTATTGAGATTCTGTTTCAAAAACTGCACCTCTACTTGTGTCGTTTCTTCGTTAACTCTGGGGTGTTAAAACATAATTCCCCACTTCAAATATTTTGTTAATTCTGGTGTAACTCCTGTGTTAACAAAACAAAATGTGCTATATTTCGAAGTGGAATGGATAAAATGGATGGAGTAATTATTGTGGCTAGAGTTCAGCGCACACAAATGACTCGATAGCTGGACAGTTTACTACCTCTTTGATGATTTGCAGGAATTCTAAAACACATGAATACAACATGATGTCATCTCAAATACTACATGAATGTTTGGACGTTTAAGGGCTCCTTTGATTCACAGGGTTTGAGAAGTGTAGGAATAGGAAACATACAGGAACAGGATGTATTGTCAACTGAAGCAAAACAGAGGATTTTTTTTCATGAAGTCCAACCTCATGCTTCTTTTCCTGTGAAAATGAACTAAGAAGTTCCTATAGGATTGGTTCCCGAGGAATGCAATCCAGTGAATCAAACAGCACGTAAAGGAAAACTTCTAGAGGGTGTCAATCCTGTAAAATTCCTATGCAAATCCTATGAATCAAAGGAGGCCTTAATTGTGCACATGAAAACCATAAGATTCTTCACGGGGGGTTGGAGTGGATGAAAATTTCCAGGGGAGTCCTCCAATTCCTTTGACAGTACTTCAAATCAAAGAGGCACTTAGACATAGGAAACAGTAGGAAGGAGCTCCATTACCCCGGCAAGAAGCGAACTTGTTAATCCATCCTCCAACGCAGTTTTCGCAGCATACATCACAGACAAGAATTTTACATTCTTCATTGTTAATAGTACTGACAATAGCAGAGGACCAGAGGCCAAAGTAGACCGTGAGCATTGCTGAGTTATGTCTGGCAGTCAGCCGGTCACTTGGCGGCCGCGGCGGCCTTGTCGAGGGTGTTGCCGATGTCGATGACGAACCGATACCTGACGTCGGCCTTGGCAAGGCGCTCCATGGCCGTGTTCACGTACTCGGCGCCGATCACCTCGATGTCTGCCGTCACACCATGCTTCGCCGCGAGGTCCAGCATCTCCTGGGTGTCCCTCATGCCGCCGATGAAGCTCCCGGCCAGGGTCTTGTTCTCTGTCCATTCATCAGCCACACGCACAACGTGCATCAGTTCGGCACAAAATGCCTGTGGTCACATGGTTTCTTCCAATGGGGAGATCGGAGAGGATATCTAGGTGGCTTGTGAGATGGGAGGACTTACTGGCAACCAGAGCAAAGGGAGGGACCTCGATAGGCTTCTCTGGGAGGCCGACCATGACCATCTTGCCGTTGGGCTTGAGTAGCCCGAAGAGAGGGGCCATGGGGATGTTTGCAGACACCGTGTTTATGATGCCATCCATGGTGCTCATCGCAGCCTGCAAACGCAACATATCAATTAAGCACCACCGGAGAAAGACCCATCTATGGTCTTGTTTGGTGATCGGACACATCGATCGGCATACCTTCATCTCGTCGGCGTTCTTGCTGACAACGAAGCCGTCGGCGCCTAGCCTCTCGAGGGCCTCCTGCTTCTTCCCCGGCGATGAGCTGATCACCGTCACCTTCATCCCGAAGGCCTTGCCGAACTTGACGGCGACGTGACCGAGCCCGCCCAGGCCCAGCACGCCGAGGTGCATCCCGGGAGCGTTCAGCCCGTGGTACTTCATGGGGGTGTACACGGTGATGCCGGCGCACAGCAGGGGCGCGCCCTTGTCCAGCGGCATGGCGTCCGGGAACCGGACCACGAAGCGCTCGTGCACCACCACCATGCTGGAGTAGCCGCCGTAGGTGAGGGTTCCGTCGCGGTCGACCCGGTTGTAGGTGAAGATCATGCCCGGGCAGTGGTTCTCGAAGCCCTTGTCGCAGCTCTCGCAGGACTGGCACGAGTTCACCATGCACCCCACGCCCACACGGTCGCCGGCCTTGAACCTGGTCACGTTCTTGCCGGCCTCGGTGACCTCGCCGGCGATCTCGTGCCCGGGGATCACCGGGTACGTGGCGTCCTTCCAGTCGTTCTTGATGCTGTGCAGGTCAGAGTGACAGATCCCGCAGTACAGGATCTTTATGACGACATCGTCGTCTCCAGTGCTCCTGAAGGAAGAATTACGACAAACATGAACGTCTTGAAAAGAAATGCCATTACAAGCGAGTGTGTAAATCAAGATAATAATCTCAGTAGTAAATCATTGGTTACTCAATTCGGTGGTCACTCAAGCAATCATTCTAGCCTAACAGTCATGCGTGCAAACAGTCAATTTTCCGTTAGAGCAAATGTCATGATTCAAGCAACAATTATTCTGGAAAATAGAGATTTTAGAAAATATTTTGCAGAAGCAAATTCTAAGACCGCAAATCCTACAGCCATCCACCAACCACCTTTGTACAGCTCGTAGCACACTGGCGCGGCTATGATAGCGACATAAAACTGCTAGCGCCATCTACAAATTCAGTTCCAACTGCAGTTTACTGTTCCATCATGTGCAAAGTATGCCACTGCCATTGACCTGTCACGTCACCCCTTAATTTCAGGCCCCCTTTGCAAAGGCCAAATTTCACAAAAGATTTTGTCTAGGGCTCTTAGTTATTGTACATCTAAGTGACACAAGTAAGCATAGAAAGGAAAAAGAGAAGAAAAAAATCCACACAAATTTTCGCGTAAGATTAATGATATAGGACTTAGATGTGCAATATTTATGACACATCTAGATGTGCTTTACCAAAACTGCAAAAGATATCACGGAAAGCAACCCAATACCCACCATTACAAATCTAGGGAAACAAATTGGCATGCCACAGAGGCATTTTTGAGAATTTGCAACAAACAAACGAGAATACGAGATAATAGCGCGCAGTTGTGCAATCACACGGACGCCACCTTTAGAACATTGGAGGGTTTGTTCTAAGACGAAATCTCGCCGGTTAATTTCGCGAAATCCAGATCCAATGAGCCGCCAATCGTCGTCGGCTACACGACAGATTTAATAACGAGAATAAATTATTGCACGGAACCATGCATCCCATTTCCACGTAGTAGCACGTATACTGTACAAAGGGATCATGGCATTGGGGGGAAACAACCCGACGCCAAGCGGATCGAACGGCGCGCAGCGCTGCCACGGCCGCCGTGCCCGGGGGGCCACGGCGGCGCGGGCTCGTCGTCTCGCGCGAACTAGACGCGCGGCCTGCGTACCTTCGGGTAATGGCGAGCGGGGCGAGGTGGCCGGAGACGTCGCGCGCCGCCAGGCCCACCGCCTTCCTCGTGTGCTGCTGGCTCTGCTCCGCCGCCGTGGGTGCCATCCTGACGCGAGGCTCGGCCGGCAATCTCTAGAGCAACACCCCGGAAATTTCTACCGAGTTTTTCCTTTTTTTGAGGGAGGTGGTGCGATAAGAGAGAGGTCTGCTGGCAAGGACGACAAGAGAGGTGGGGCGCCTTTTATGGAAGGCCCGCAAGTCTCGACGCGCCAAGTGGGCCAACGCTGGCCGTGGTCGGCGCTGACGTCAGCGCCCATTCTTTTTTTAAATCATAAGTACAGACACAAGCGTTCATATACATGCGTATATACCCATCCCTATGAACGCATACACAACCTATCCCTTTCCTATGAGCATTTTTAAAAAACT